CAAAGGGTCACAGAGATCCTCCTATGGTCGTTGGGAAAGGCCTTTCAAAATATACGTATCATGCAATATGTAGAGACCCTCGCTTTCTCCCTTTGTTACCTCCCTCTTCTGGAGACAGTTGCATTGAAAGTGGCCCATTTTAGCTTAGTTTGACCATCAGCCTGCACACACTGTCTATGTATGAAAGGTGGATCATAATTCTGGACTATTTGGATCCCACATGGGTTGGAAACAGCTGACTTAGTCCTTTATACTGAGATTCTTTTACTTGGTGGTCATCAGAGTTTGAGTTTTGTCTTGCTGTATGCACTGGTAAAAGCCCGAATCCTGATAATATTTAGCCATTTAAGGTCGTTCTTGCGCAGTGTGGGTATTGGTTGACCACGTTCTGGTATATAGGTAGTTTGTTGTCCTCAGCTCTCCTGGAAGTTTGTGAACTGTATGGTGTGTTACTTCTGCCCTACTTACTGTGTATTGCTGTGAGCTGGTAAACAGCTGCCACGTTTCCTCCAAGAGGGAGCAGCATTTTATTGGAAAGGAAAGCAGTCTGTGTGTGCTGCTTGTCAGTAAATTGCTTTGGGTGATGTTACTGTTTCCTAAAACGCTTTTTCTCCTTTGGCAGGGAGATGGAAGAGAAAGTCACACTGCTTAATGGGCCAAATAAGCGACCAAGGTAATTATTTGGGCATGTGTTTGAAAGGAAGTCTGGAGAGAACAGCTCCCCAGAGAGGAACTTCGCTGAGAGTGTTAGTCTGTGACAACCTTAATGGAATAGTGTAGTTTAAAAGACCCCTAAATGCTAGGAATTTGACATAGTTGTTATGTGGTTATTGTCCCACATTTTACTCTGCCTTTTATATCCTGCTTATGTGTATGGCTGGAGCCTTACCGCAGCAAGTCCCATACAGTTCTGATCTATCCTACTGAGGATGTAGTCCTTACAGCTGACGTATCTGAGGATGTACTATAGATCCCTCCTTTTACGCTAGTTCCCTTGAGCAGGAGGCATATGACTGTCTGAATGTTGAATATTAAATGAATATAAATATCTTTTGTAAAACTGGATGTACGCAAAGGTTTTCCACAGTCCCTAGCAAGCCTGTAAGCAGGGTTGCTCTGTGAAGCAGACAACTTCTGTGACATTTATAGCTGGTTTTCTGTTGATTTGTCAGATAGAATTTGGCCTTTTTTTCCTCATAAACTTGGAAGTACTGAGCACTTGATGTGAAGTTGTTCCAGTTCATGGGTTGTTCGCAAACAGTTTGCTTTGATTACAACTTCCATTTTGCGATCTGCTTGTGAATTGATTCTTGCCTGCATCAAAGAGTTCTATTTTTGCCGTCAGATGGAAGCCTGTAACTTAAATAAAGAGGAGAGAGGGAAGTTAGAAGCTTTTGGATGCTTCTGTATTTTGAGCAAGATTTCATGACCATTTGTAAGGCTTTCATTTTTCACAAATGAGAACAGCTCCATTGCCATTCACTGAAAGCCTGGTCTTTTTAAATGACATCAAATTGGATTGTAGGCTTTTAAAAATGCTTCCTGGAGGCTGCTTTCTCTGCTGCTCGGAGACCAGTTTGATCCTGAGTCTCTCTAGAGCAGTTGAGGCCTCACAACCACTCAACAAAAAGAACAGTTTGTGAAAATCAAAACTGTGAATGGTTGTGAAGGGGAAACTGATAGACAACAGTAGGAAAATGAGTGATGATGGTGAATGCAAACTCATTAAAAACATGTGTGTTTTGTGGGGGGTGTCTTGTGCAGGTCAAGTACCATGAATGAGGCTCCTATTGCAGTGGTGACTTCGCGCACTAGTGAGGTGTATGTTTGGGGGGGTGGGAAATCCACCCCCCAGAAGCTGGATGCCATCAAAAGTGGCTGCAGTGCACGCCAGGTGTGTGCTGGTAACACTCACTTTGCTGTGGTGACAGTGGAGAAGGAGCTCTACACCTGGGTGGTAAGTGAGAGAAACTGCAGGAAGGGGTAAGTGTGGGAGAGGAGAGTCCAGATCCACTGCTGACTGTTCATGAGCCTGGTAGAATCAGATGGGCAAGCAGCTTGGAAAAGGAGGAATCTGATTGCAGTGGACACTGTGAGGCCATCTGCTTCAGAGCTGACCCAAGTCTCCTAAGGCAAGTGTGTTTTTGGGAGAAGTTTTCCATCATGACAGGAGGTATATTGGAGGCTTGCTGTGCACTTGAGGATTGTAGGTGGTGGACTTGTAGGCTGAGACACTGAGTCAAACATTGCTTCCTCCCCTTCCTGACTACTAGAAATGCACTGGAGACTTTGTGATGCTCTATTGGCTTGCGTATTTTTGAGGAAGGTTTTCCAAGGTCAGAATGGATGGGATGAATGATGTCATTGTAATACGAGTGTCATCTGTGAGGCAACTTATGGATGAAACCAGAGATGTCTTATACTAAACAACTGTGCTTTTTATGATGAGTGGAGATTCTGTGATAGTTTGAAGTGAGTAAAAAAAAATGTTGGCATATAATGCGTTTAAAACAATTGAATCCAGTCTTCTCAGGCTTAGATGGTCAGTGACATAGAAGTATTCTGCATCTCAAGGCTTCCACAGGCTTTTGTATTGATGATACAGAATCTGTTAAGAGATGTTAGAAAATACTGGTAGGTTGGTGAGAGAAGAGAGAGATCCAAAGGGGAGGAGAGCAACTTGAAGTGATTTGCTGGATGTTACTGCAAGAATGGCCATTGAAAACTTTCAGCTGGCTGTTAATATTTTAGTTTTAGCTTCAACACTACTCAGTTGTCTTGTTTTTCCTGTAGAGTTGGTAGGTCTGGCCACTTCAGTGACTTTTGTTTCATGTGGTGGGTTTCTTTGCAGCCATTAGGATTTAGAAAAATAGGTCAAAAAGCTGAAGGTTTAATTTCAGTCCTGCAACAGGAAGTGGGTACTGTAGCCTGGCAGATGAGAAGGGAGCAGGGATCCTCACCAGCTGGTGGCTTGAGACTGGATCACTCCTCGTTAGTGCATAACTACCTGAAAGCCTGTGCTGCCATTTAGAATGTTGTCTGCTGTTATGCCACATGGCAGATAGTAGTCTCTTCCCTAAGGTAGCTAACACACTTTCTCTTGCTCATTGCTGTCCTCTATTGTTCATTTGAGGTGCTGTAATTATTGGCACCATCTCTGGAGTTGTGGATACATAACCTTACCAGGTGTTTCTGTCTTGCAGAATATGCAGGGGGGCACCAAGTTGCACGGGCAACTGGGACATGGAGACAGAGCCTCCTACCGGCAGCCAAAGCATGTTGAGAAGCTTCAGGGAAAAGCCATTCGCCAGGTGTCCTGTGGAGATGATTTCACAGTGTGCATCACAGGTGAGAGCTGTGGGGGGAACCATCGTCCCCTCACTTTGTGCTGTGGTGATGTTTGCCTTCACAATAAGATTAGCAGAGCAGCTTTGTGCACAAAGGAGAAAGTCGCCTATCTTACTAACCCATCAGTTTTGAGGACAGTAGATGCGGTAGTGGACATAGATCAACATTATTATACAGAGGAAGATATTGACTCCCAAGAAGGCTGGGTGTTTTGCTAACGATGTGCTCCTTTTTGGTGATGAAGCTGGGTGTTGAGCCCAGCTCCCTGTGGCTACCCGGAGTCCCTGCTCTTACCAGTGCATGTGTTGTCTCCATACATGACCATATTAAAGACAGAGGAGTCTGAACGTAAGAACGTAAATGTGTTTGAAACTCTTTTTGAACTCTGTGGGAAATGATAAAAGAAGATGTGTATCTGAGATTTGCTATTTAATTCAGAAAGCTTGAGACCTGATTGTGATCTCTAGTTCTAACCCTGCTCATTCTTTTAAAGATGTGTTAACTGTGGTGTTGTCTGTTGGAAGAATATGAATCTCACTTCACTCACTTCACCCATGAAAACATAATTCTCAACAAGGTAGTTTCCAGCTTATTTTGCCAGTGCTGGAAAAGCAGAGGTTTGACAGAGATAAGCTCAGATGCTGAGTGTGCTGGAGGAGAGACTTAGGGAGCCACAGGATCAATTTGTGAGTTTCTCTTAAAGAAAGCAGCAGGTTCAACTCAACATTTTTTGACACTAGTGGCCTGAAATAGCTGCAGGTTGTGGTGTAGGGTCATCCGTCTTAATGTGAACAAGAAAGGACTCCATATTGTCCTGATGACATTCTTCTGCACTGAAGAGGAGGATGATTACAGAGAAGAGGTTGCTCTGGCCATGTCCTAAGAGGTTAATATGCAGCCTAATACAAGCTCTGTGCTGACTGAGCTTCCCTTATGTCCTTCAGATGAAGGCCAGGTGTATGCCTTTGGCTCAGACTATTATGGATGCATTGGCGTTGACAAGGCTTATGGCTCTGAAGTGCTTGAGCCGCTGCAGCTGGATTTCTTTCTTACCAACCCTGTGGAGCAGGTCTCATGTGGAGATAACCACGTGGCAGTGCTGACCAGGAACAGAGAAGTTTACACATGGGGCTGTGGAGAGTACGGTAGGTAGAGTTTCCCTGGAACCTAAAGGCACTGGGGCATGCCCGCTCCATAGAGCGGCTTAGTGCAGGTGTGTAAAGCAGGGCCTGGGTGAGGGCTGTCTGATATGTCCTGGGGGCAAAGAACATTGTTTCTTTGGAGCTTTCTTTCCTTGTAAGAATAGAGAACTGAGGACTGAGCCCTTGGGGCTTTACTCTGTGAAGCTCTAGGGTGCTACTTGGCTTCCTTGTGGGTAGGGTAGTTGTTCTGTGAGTGGGGTTGCATTACCTTGAGGATTGGCAGGCAATGATGCATGTAAGGGAGGAAGTTTCTAGTTCTGCAGGGAGATTCCTTTGGGACTATAGAGAGGCAATACCATTTCTTAGTGGCGGGCACCTTGTGAGGCCATTTCTAACTGCCGTGTTTTCACTGATGCAGGGCGCTTGGGCTTGGATTCAGAAGAAGATCACTACACCCCTCAGAAGGTAGGGCTGTGACTACTTAAAATCTGCATGGGCATAAATGCAAATTCATTGCTCTTTGGAAATACTAAACTGTCTGAGGCTCAGGTGTTTTTTCTGAGGTATCGTAGAGTTTGCGAGGGTTTTAACTTTTACTTCCTCATTTTATTTTTCTTCATTTGTCTGTAGAGATCATGGCAGAGGGACATGCCACTCCCAAACCAGCCAGCATCGTGACTTAGAGTTTCATTGCTCTGATCTCCAGGCTGGAGCTGGAAATGCCAAAGTTAATGTTTTAGAAATCATAGTAGGAGATTGCATACCTCGGGTCTGTAGAGGAAACTTGCAGAGTGCAAGCAACTGGGAGTCTGAATTTGACATATGAGTTGAATGTAAAACCCTCTTGAAATACAGTGCTAGCAGTCCTTGCGGTAATCTGACCTATTGGGGGTTAGAAAACAACAAGGATGTGCCTGGAAGCCAAATATCTGTGATCATGCAGTATCACACCCACACAGACCCAGCCATGCTTGGCTAACTGAGTCTGGTGCTTATAGACCCCAGCTGGCCAGGATGCCTGTGCACCACATTTCTGGTTCCTGTGCTGGCTCACCAGTGTCTGCACACAAGGTCTAGAATGCCTTGAATTTCTGCATTGTGACCAGTGTTTCATTAGACTTTACATTAGACTTGCTGTAGACTTTACAGTACTCTTGAACCTTCATTCAAAATAACTGCATTGGCTATTGTCAGTGCCCAGACTATCTGAACCACTGCTCTAACCCCATGTTTTACATGTGCCAGCTTCTGCCTAGTAGGTGTTGGGATTTTGATTTTCTGGGGATATGTTTCTTCCATATAGGTGGATGTTCCGAAGACCTTAAACATTGTGTCCGTTCACTGTGGCTGTGATGGGACTTTCCTGCTCACCCAGACAGGCAAAGTGTTGGCATGTGGACTCAACGAGTTCAACAAGCTGGGCCTGAACCAGTGCACCTCAGGGATAATCAACCATGACGTAAGTGCATTAGGGTCCCTGGCTCCAGCTCCCAGCAATCGGTAGTATGTGGGGAAATGGAGGTCCTGTGACAGTGACAAAGCATTCATTAGCTTTGCGCCAATTGCTTAGTTCCAATCCAAGACAATGCATACTGGGATTGTGGGAAGAGGCAATTTGTTCCTCAGTTTCCTGTCTGCCCGATGGGCTTATGTCAGATCCGAGCTAGTGAAACAGATAGCAAGCTGCTCTGGGGTGACTTAGCCAGTGACATTGACTCTGGCAATTCTTTACCATACCTGTGTTGCTACTGTCTAGGTTAATGTTGTGGTCTGCCAAGACCTGCTTGAGTAGGTCTTAGCTGATGAATGTGTGGTTTTTCACCCTGTGTTTACCCACGTATCTTTTCTCAGACGTACTGTGAGGTGCCATATGCCACTTCCCTTACTTTGGCCAAGCAGCTGTCCTTTTACAAGATCCGCACCATTTCTCCAGGGAAGACACACACAGCTTCCATTGATGGTGAGCCCTGTGTATTAACAAGTTGAGTACTGGTTGCTGGATTACTTTACATCAGCTTTGCCCTCTCAGCCTGGCCCTTGACATCGAGGGTTGTGCTCCTGGTAGCAGGACTCGTGCCTGCTCCAGGAACCCAGGATTCCTGTTCCTCAGCCGTGTTGCCTCCTGGCCAGCTGAAGCAGCAACATCAGCTGCTGGGTCAGCCTGCCCTCCCCCCACACCCCCCCGCCCCCCCAAAGAAAAAAGGAAAGTTTGGGGAAGAATCATGCTCTGGGATAGCAGAGGAATAGTTTATGACTGAGTTAGGCTTTGCCCAAGTGACACCAGTCAGAGGGCTGTGAAAAAAAGGGAGCAATGGGAGCAGGAACTGGGAAGGTGTTTCCAGGCTGAAGCCATTCCTCTTGGCTGTCACTGTCCCCTCCCAGCCTGGCTGGCTTCTCAGCAGAGTCCCTCCTGGTCACGGGCTGTTGCTGCTAGTTCTCTGCATGCATGGCTGCTTCCAGAGTTGGGCCCTTGCTGTGACTGTCTCCTCGTTCCTCCTCTCAGAGCGAGGCCGCCTGCTGACCTTCGGCTCCAACAAGTGCGGACAGCTTGGTGTTGGGGACTATAAGAAGCACCTGGGAATTAACCTGCTGGGAGGCCCCTTGGGGGGTAAGCAGGTGATCAGGGTTTCATGTGGAGATGAATTCACCATAGCTGCTACTGACGGTGAGTGGGTCCTTGCGAAGCTGTGGTGGGTTCCTTTGAACTAGATCTGCAGGGTGGTTAACTGGCTCCCACTGATCATTTACTAGACCACCCCCATAGCACTGCACTGAAATAAAGAAATCCTCCGAGACTGGGGCTGTCCGGCCCCGTTAGTTGTCCCAGTGCAGTGACAAGCATTTGCTGTCCCTGGGGCTGCAGTGTGCTGGCTTGGTGTCTGCCTGTTAGATTCATTATCAGTTTGTTCTCCCACTGGCAAAATGCAGCTGGTGGATTAGAGACTTTGGGATAGCAGTTACAGCAGAGAGGCTGTGATCCTTATAACAATTACAGGCTGAGAGGAAGGGAGGGAAATCAGCCTCCTGAATCTCTCTTTCCTCAGACAACCATATCTTTGCCTGGGGTAATGGCGGGAATGGGCGTCTGGCAATGACATCGACTGAGAGAGCTCATGGCTCGGATATTTGTACCTCATGGCCTCGGCCAATATTTGGATCGTTGCATCACGTTCCAGACCTGTCATGCCGTGGCTGGCACACAATCATCATTGTTGGTAAGTGCAAGTTTAGGATGAAATTTTGGGATCTTGGTTATGATGATGTACTGCTTGCCAGGAATTAGACTATAAATCCTGCCTGCGAACAGGCCAGGTTGCTGTGGGGGAATGTGGCAAGCCGCTCTGAGCTCTAGGCTTGCAACGTTGGCTTTGTTGTTTGCCTTTGTAGGAGTTGTCCTGCTTTCCATGTGGCCTTCTAACCGAAAGCATGCTTCTCTCCTTGCAGAAAAGGTGTTGAACTCTAAAACAATCCGATCCAACAGCAGTGGCCTGTCCATTGGTACTGGTGAGTAACCTGCCCTGGGGAGCTGTGGTTTAAGTCCATTCAGTGGTTAGTCTGAGTGGGTGCAGTTTGGTTCTGCAGCATGGTTCCTCTGTGTTTGAAATGCCTCACAGAAGAGCTCAAAGGGAGGAAATCTAGTTGGTGCCTTGCATGGGAAGGAGTGGCCCAAAGCTGGGAAAGAGAACTGAACAGAGGCAGAAGATGCAGTGAGGCCTTTGTAGTTGAGGAGGTTCAATTTAACAAGGAAAAACTGAGAATTCATTGAAGGGAGCTGATAAGGGAAGGGGGGCTATGGGACAGCTGCTAGAGAGATGGAGTCCAATTTCTTGGACCTGTGGAAGGGCTGGGGCCAAGAAGCTGCAGAAGGCTGCTGCACACAAGTCCTTTTGGGGAGGCCTGCAGGGAGTGTTAGGAGATACACTGTTGAGGGAGATGCTGCTAGCGTGTGCTCTCACTGTGGCCATACAGCCCAGATTTCTGCATCTTCTCTGCTCCAGCTGGGATCTGGCAACAAGAATAGCAGAGGTGGAGAAAATACAAAGTTTTCACTTCTGTTTGCTAGTGGCTCAGAGCTGCACAACTGGAGGAGGAGAGGAAGAGGATAATGAACAGGAAGCGGAGACCCCCAATCCCAGTGGAGGCTTTCGGGGAACCATGGAAGCAGATCGTGAGTTGGGGGGCTGGATCAGCACCACAGAAGCTAAGGGAGGCAACAGTGCTGACAGCAGCTCCTGCCCTGGCTGGCTGCGGAAGGTAATGTGGTGTCTCAGAAATGCCTTGAGATGGGGGGTCTAGGCTGGGGAAAAGCAAGTGGCCGCTTCCACTTTTAGGGGATGCTCTGAAAGGTTCTCAGAGCTGTGCTGCACGGGGAGCCCTTTATGCCTCACTGCCTTTTTTACCACAAGAGGGTGTTGGTGCATTGGTTGAGGAGATGGAAGTCAGCTGCAGGAAGGCAGGCAGGCCTAACAGTACTGCTTTTGTGTATCCAGGAGCTGGAGAATGCTGAATTCATCCCCATGCCTGACAGCCCCTTTCCTCTGAGCATGGCATCTTCAGAGCCCGAGAAGGAGACTCTCCCTTACCAGAAACTTCAAGGACTCAAAGTGGCCTCTGAGGAACCTGTTGAATCAAACAAGCCCAAAACAGAGCCCTGGGTAATGTTATCCAAGTTAATACTTGGCCAAAAGCTCTTGGGGACCATAAATGGCAATGTTTGATTCATGGGGAGAGCTGAGAAGGGGGTGTTGGATTGGCCTAATTCATCTGGATGAGTAAAACGGGGCTCTTGATAATCAGAGATGCTGCTGCAAAGAGAACAATTCACAGGAATCTAGAACGCAAAGTTGGGGCTTGGTGAGATTGAAAATAGTGAGATCAGTTCTGTGGAAAAATGTGGTTAATGCAACTGGAAAAAAACAAAGCCTAGGGCCCAGAAGCCTAGCATAACATAGAAATTTAGAAAGCAGAAATTGCTGTGAGATAGGAAGAACAACTGATATAGGAAATCACTGAGAAATTACAACATGTGAGACTACGTTATTCCAGGCATTTTCTGTCCTACGAGGAGGCACAGATCCCAGGCTTAGGGAAGGGGGGGTAAACCAGATGGATTTTGGAGATAGGAGGACAGGAGCACCTTTCCCAGAAAAAGGAGGGAGTTAGTGGCTTTGTACTGAAGATGTAATGACTAGTAGCTTGCTGACCTTGGCTGCTAGAAGTTTGGGAAGTTGGGAAACGAGCTGGGGTGATATTTTCTGTGCATGGTTTCTTCTTGTGGCCTATACAACTTCTGGCCTTGCGCTCAGACCTGGCCTGACTTCCTTCTGTGTCTCTACAGCCCACTTGCCTGAGTCCAACCTTGCCGTGCGGTGAAGGGAAGGTCGAGTCTCCTGTTGCAGGCTGCATGTGCAGTGCTCTGCAGGTGGAGGTGATGCACCTCCGAGGCCTGGTTTTACAGTGTCTGGATGATCAGAAGAAGCTGCAGCAGGAAACTGTTCGTCTGAGTGCCCAAGTCCAGCAGTTCTGCAGGGGGACGGAGGGAATGCAGCAGGTGAGGACCCATCACCTGGGTGCACATCCATGCTCAGGGCTCACTATGCTGATCCTGGCTCCTGCGTAGATTGTGGAGGCTGCGCAGAAGGAAGCAGCTCTTAACAGACGTCTCTCTTGGAGCAGAACGAGGAGACTGAGCATGAGCTGCTGATGCAGGCTCTGGTAGTAGCAGCAGAAATTAAGCCAAGAAGATAGTTTCCTGAGAGGACAGCCCAGTCCTTGATGGGCCTGGGATTCCCCTTTATTTCTCCTAGTGAGAAGGAATGGGCAGTCGGATGTCACGGAGGGTCCCAAATGGCTGTGGAGAATAAGAACTGTGCCTTTTGCAGCTCCTAGCTTCTTTGCAGCTGGTCCTACAGCTGTTTGGATAACTGCTGTGTGTTTTGGCAGGTGGAGGTTCATTCCAAAGGAACACAGACGGCCAAAGAGGAGGTGGAAGTAGATCCGAAACCTGACTTGGATTCAGATTCCTGGTGTCTCCTGGGAACAGACTCATGCCGCTCCAGCCTCTAGTCTCCTGAGCCCACTGGGATCCATCTAACTTCACAGCACACTAACCGAATGCAGAGAGCGGCTTTCCTGGCTTCAGGTCACTCGCAGACAAGGAGCGAGGCCGGAGGCTCCAGAGCAGCACCCATGTACGTTTGATATGAACTAGGAGTGAGTTTGAGAGGGGAAGGGCCCCTGAGCTCTAGGCCAGCTCAGCGATTGAAGCAGCAGCAGCTCCTCTTTGTACCTTATCCGTCAATTCTGCACATGAGGCAGAACGGCCCCATTATGGCGATGGCTCCAGTAATGGCTTGTGGCCCTTTCATTGTTTCACTGCTTCTTGGGAGCTGCCTTTGGGACCCCAGTATTCATCACTGCATCTCTTGGTGAGAGGAGGAGACATGCTTTGTACTGAAGCTGGCTGAACCCTAAGACTCGCCACCTTCACTTCGGAGGGGTGAAGGACTAGGATCCTCTCCCTACCACATGGTAAGGCCCAGCCGGTGAGGCTGCTCCCCTCTGCTCAGGGGCAGAGGGAGCAGAGAATGTCTCATTCTGGAGGCAGTGGAGATCTTCCTGTCAGGGAGATAATGGTAGACAGCATGTCCCTGGCCTTGGGGCACAGCTTCTGGCCATATGGCTGTGTCCAGTGGCCTGTACAGACAGAGTTTAAAGGCTTTATTCTGGGTGCCTAGAGCTTTCCAACTTCCAGGCAATGCACCGAGATGAGTGAATCAGGTGTTGTTTCCAGTAGCAGTAGCGGGGACTGTCTGAGATGGGATCTCTGGTTCTTGGTTTCATACCACCTGCTTCCTGACCAGATGACAAGCGCATGGGCCTCAGACTAAGTGACTCATTTCTTGCTCCAGCTGTTCAACTTGGTTTGGGTGCCAGAGCTTCTGGTTTCTTGGCATAAGCCCGTAGCTGCTCCCTGCTTGGCTTCTGTTCTGCTCAGGCCCTGTTGCCCACGCTCTATGTGGGTGTGGGAAGAATCAGTGTTTTTTCCACTCAGTGTTTTGATGAAGCTGGAATGCAGTTTCCTACCCAGAATAGGTCATTAATGCCGTGGTCACAGGATGCAGCCTTCCCCAATGACCACGAATGATCAAGTCTCTGTCTGGTTCACCTTTCTAGAAGCAAGAGGCTTTCCCAAGAAAATTGGAGATGGGAAGTGGCATGGCCTGATGCTCAAGATTTCCTCGTTTCCTGTTAGAGAATGAGGTTAATTTTAGTCCCCTTAAATTTATTAGCAAACTGACTTTGAACTAAGCTTTGGGGATTGGTAAGATCCCTGGGAGCAGCTATCCTCCCCTGCCTTACGTGAAGCCTCTAAGGATTCCTGAGTCCTTCTCACCTTTGCTGTGAGAGTGGGGTTGTGATTTCATTAGGCTTAAACCGTCCCCATCAATGGCAGGTCACTAGAATTGCCTTAGATCTATTGGAGTTGGATATCCTGTCACCTCTCCTAGACTTCTTCCTTTGAGAGACTGTTCTGGGGGAGCCAGCATTCCCCATTTGTCTCTAGAGGTGGATGCCAAACCATTTGCTTGTAACTTAATGCTCCTTAAATACTTCTTTAGTGCCTATTGCTAGTATGTTGGAGCTGAATCGAATGCAGTCTCTCCAGTGCAGTGCCGAGGGCAAGGATCGTACTGGTGTGCCAGTCCGTTGTTACCGAAGGAAGGGCAGGAGGACAGCCCTCCCGGGAGGTGGTGATTGTCAGGCACCCTGGCACGGCCACATCACCTGGTTGCCCTTGTGACTCCGATTTCCTTTCCCCCATGTGCATTGGAGCCAGTTCTCAGGTTAGGGTCCCGGCTTGAGGGTTGTTGTTGCAGTTGGAAATGATTGAGTCGATCACGTTGCGGCAGTGCCTTTGAGGAGTGAAGAGTTGAGCCTGAGCCATGTCCAATAAGCAAGCAGCAAGCTGATGGGAGTCGCTCTCCTGCCGTGCACTGCTATCCTCATTTCTCAATGCTCTGCAGTTGGGAAGCTAGGTGCACAGACTGGGTTCCCCTTGGATCTAGTGGAGGATTAGGGTCCCTGACAGAGGATGCCCTGTGCTCCACAATCTCATATGTGCCTTAGAGGATTCACGCTATCCAGGTTGTGCCTGTTACAGACCACGGATTTCACACTAGCCAGCTATGCAACCAAAAAAGCAGTTTAAAGCCAGCACCTCCGTCTTGAGCTGAAAACGGAAGGGCAAGTGGGCAGAAGTGCCTTTGAGCAGTTTCAAACCCTTTTTACTTCTCCCCTTCTTGCAGTGCTAGCTCCATATGTGTTGGTCTCCTGCTAGTATTGCTACTGAGTTGTTATAGTGGAACACAACTTATGCCTGCTCTGACACTCTGGCTGAAAACTAGTTTGTCGTTGTCTTTTTTTGAAAGGTTAAAGGGTGGAGTGGTTTGGAGTTTCTGTTTAAATAAATATTTCAACTCATTCTCCTGTGGTCAGAGTCTTTTTTTTTTTTTTTTTTTTTTTTTTTTTTTTTTTCTCCCCCAAGAGTGGAAGGGGAAATATGCATATAGTCAGCTAGCTTCACGGCATTCTGCTTGATTATGTTTTTTGCTTATAGAAAGAGGGCCAAGGGGCTTGCAGGTTCTTTGCTATGGGAAAAAAAGTCAGGTTCTGTGTCCTTTCATTAAAAAACCCAAAACAACAAACAAACAACAACTCTTTTCTCTTGCTGCTGCATCTCCTCCTAGTGACGTCAGGGGGCTTTTGTGTGTGTGTTTATTTCAACAGTTTGAGTGCCAAGTGGGAAATGAGTAACAGGAAGAGAGAGGCTCAAAGGGAAGAAGTACCTGTTTCTCTCGGAACAGCTTCTACTGAGCATTAAGGCCTACAGAAGGGAGAGCCTGCCTGACGCCTGCTTGGCCACCTGTTCCTGCACACTACTTAATGCCCGTTATGTCTTTCTTTTTATCAGGGTTTTTAGTAAATTGTGAAATGTCTTGAGAGGCAGAGCTGGGTTAAAGGCTTAAAATTCACCAGAGGTTTGGATACTTGAAAATCCAGCATGTCTCTGAGAGGGGGATTGTACTGCAGTAGCAGAAAAGAAAGTTGAGCTGCCATGAAAAACATAGCTTGAGTTGTGCCAGCGTAACACTAACCATGAGAGCAAAGCAGCAGGGTAAATCTCTGTGTTGAGCCTGATGCTTTGGCTAAACTGTTACTAAGTTTTAAACCAGTTATCAGAGACTTTCTGGATACTGCTGTCTGTCTTGACCTTAAACAATAGCTCAGCAAAGAGGGGTGAACTGCCCAGGGATTGCTCTGAAACAAAGATAACAAATGAAGCCTGGTGATTTAGTTTCAATAACTTTTGTTTAATCTACAGTTTCAATCTCAGCATTAGCCATTTGCCTGTCACTTAAGATAAGTCCCCAACAGATGGATTTATTTTAAGTATCAGAAGCTTTTCTGTGTGTATCTACCCCAGTCACCATTTGCACTCAGCACAAGCTGACTTTCAGCGTCCACTAAATGCGGTCAATAAAACGTAGTGCAAGGGAAATGGAGTTAAGATTACAAGACAGGCAGTGGTACTGAATTTCTTAACTACTCTTAGTTTAATTCAGTTACACCTTTCATTAATTCCAGGAGGCTGGCATAAAGCTTCCAGATTATCCTTTCCTACCTCTTGTCACCTCTTGCTATCCTGTATTTCGAAGCTCTGAAGTTAAAGCATTGGTCTTGCTTCTCCAATCAATTTGGATATAGCAAATTCTTTTCCCTTGTTTTGAGTCTGTTTCTTCTCTCTTCTAGGTTTGTATGCTCATACCTGGCTGACACAGTGCAGCACTGACCCTTTCTGGGACCTTCATGTTTTTTTAAGGTGTGCTAAGGGACTGAGATTTCTGCCCACATATTTATAGGGCAGAAGCTCTCCAACTTCCTGTAGGAGTCGTGTCCACCCATTGAAGGCTGGAATATTTCTTCATATTCAGCTTCTGACTAGTCCAGTTTAATCTAGTTGCTTTTATCTTTTTCTAGGTTCTCATGAGCTGCTGCTACATTACTGAAGGATTTCCAAAAGGAGCTGCTGGAATTTTTTTTGTTCCTTGTTTGCTTCCTGTTGCAGCGTTCTCATACAAAGTAGTCATTCGTACTTTGAGAGCACAAACCACTCTGTGACCATTTAAAACAACTTTTACTCAACAGAACTAGTCTAATATATTAAAAATCAGAATCTGGAAAAATAAATGACTTAGAAATGTGCAGGAACTGTCACCATTTATAAGCAGAAAATTCTCTGAAAGGGTCTGTAGGACACCTATTTCCCCTAAAAGACCCTTTAGCAGTCTGTGACAAAGAACTTTAGCATGGGGCCAAAATCACCAAGAACTACCTTACATCTCAAGAAGAAAGCAAAAGAAGGGGTACATTTTTGTCATAATTCTCTACCATTGCAGCAACTAAGATGAAAATGAGCAGGTGATTCAAGGAAGGGTGCAAGCCCTGTGTTTTATTAGAGGTCCCTAGCAACTTGGCCTGCAGGAAAACTCCAGGTTTTTTTTTTTTATATTGAATCTAATTGTTAATTTACCCTGAACATATGAGTGAAACAGCTAACAGGTTTTCTGATGTGAAGTTCCTTAGTGTACTGTCTGGGAGCAGGGGGTGTATGGCTTTTTTTAGCTGTAGCAGTTCTTAAACATTTTAGATGGAAATTAAAAAATAAAAAAAATCAGAAACCAAGTTAGGAATGAAGGGAAGGTTGCCATGGGAAGGAAATTCCTTCTCAGTTCCTGAAAGTGATACAGTAAGGCACAGAACTGTCACTGATCTGTTCTTCACACTTTATACAGGAAGCCTGGAGATAGGAACAAATGCTCTGTATCACGATTCTTAATTTCCAGCTCCTGCAGTATGCTCCCTTCCATGATCTTCTCTAAGTCCATCTTGAAACAATGTAGGTTCCTTGCCTGTGCTAATCTATTTGGAAGGTTTTTCCATGACCTCACTCGTCTCCTGGTTAGAAATCTAATTTCCAGTCTGAGCTTATTCATGACCTATTTTTGATCTTGTGTGGCATTATTCTGTAATTAAATAGTTCTTCTTCCACCCTTTTCCGACTCCGCGTGCTCGCTATTGTACGTGGTAAGTAACACTTCGGGATGGTTGTTCTGTTGCCTCAAGGACCTGCCTTGTTCAGAATGTCTCTGCTGTTCTATGCACATGAATTGACATACGGACTTTGAAACAGTAGGTGCCTGCTACTGCTAGCTTTTCTAAGCCCTTGAGTTTCTGATCCTGAGCTTCTTGTGTTGAGGAAGCATTTAATAATACTTCTCCCAGTTCTCCTAATTCAAACAATGTCATACTGGATTTCTAAATGATAATGTTACAGATCTTCAGCTGGTAAGATGTAGCCCCAGGATTGACACCAGCATTCTAGAAGAGCTTCTGAATAAACTCTTGGTCTGCTGCAGAGCAAGCGTGGAATAAACCTGCCTACACAGCTTTCATTGTTTAACTGAACAGTGCTACAACAAATAAGACAGGGCATGGGCAGTGACCAAGTGAGAGTTCTAGATCCTGTTGTGTAGCACAGGTACTAAGGCCAGAAGAACACAGCAGTCTCTGTACTGCAAAAAAGTGAACTGCTTACATAGCTTCCTCCCTTCCCTCTGCCTGACTTTTCCAAATACCTTGTCTAAATGCTTAATAGTTTTGAAGAATGTAGAGTCCTTTCTCTGGCAAAAAAAAAAAAAAAAGGTATCCCTCACATCCCAGTCTCTTGTAGGTAGCTACAATAAAAATACTACGCCAGCCAGAACCACTGTCACTGTTAGCATGTTCAGGAGTGAACATCTGCACCTACAGAGCAGTAGAGCAAACAAAAGGCAGGTCCTCTGTTTGGCCCAGCTCTTCTTTTTGTGAACAGCTCTACTCTATGCTTTTGGAGAAGAAAAACACTTGAGTCAACAGCCATTGATGAGCAGCCCTCTTCACATCAGACACCAGTAGTGTTGTTAGGAACAAAACAAAAAAAGAAAAGAGCCCAATCCTCCCTAACCTACAGGCAAAATATGATACTGAAGAATAGCCCCTTTCTGATGGGTGGCTTGCTCCTCGCCGCTGTCCTGCTGACAGCCTGTAGCAAGAGCCTTTCTTTCCTGCTCGGTGAGCTGAACAGTGACAGTGTTACACCTACACTAAAACACCATGTTGAGCTCACTGGATAGGAGAAGTGGCCCCCAGAGGGGCATCCCACATGGGGCAACCCAGGGCACAGGTCAAAGTACACAGGTTCTAGTATTCTGCTTATACATCCTGAGCTGTTCACTGGCTGTACATACAAGCTCAATACTCGCAGCCAGTGTTGAGACTAGGGAAAGCACAGGTGTCTGTGGTGGGAAACCTGGCAGAAATCAGGCAGGGAATCACAGCAGCAGGTACAGTTGGACACCACCTCAGCAGTGTCTCCTCTGAGGTGGGGGTGGGGGCCTATTCTTGATGGTTTTACATTTGGGAATATGTGTCTCAGCTGCTCAGGAAGCAAACTGGTGTCTGCAGTAGGGGCAGGGAACGTGGTCTGGGTTTTTAATGGGAGGCAACGGGGGCAGGTCAGACACCTCCCATCCCTTGGAGAGGACTTACTGCACCTGGCGGGCCCGGCGCAGGGTCTGGATGAAAATTTTGTGCTTCTGCCTCCAGTTGTTCCTTCTGGGTGGCTGATTCTGCAGAACAGAAAGGCAGTCAGAGCAACTGTCACTACTGTCAGTCTCTGTTCTCAATCTTATGCTCGGGGTCCATCTCGAGTCTCCCATCCCTGTTGATGTAAAACCCTCCCTGAGAAGCTGCATCGCACAAAGGTGATCAAAAAGACCGGCACCGAGGAGGATTTAAAGGAAATACTGATGGGAGACATCCATACTTAGAAAGAGCTTGAGAACAAGCAGAAAAGCAAGCAGTAGGGCCAAGGAACTGGATGCTATAGCTGTTTTGCAGGAACAGAGCTGCGTGTTTCCGCTGCCTTCATTTTAATAGCCTGTGTTATTACCTGGATTTCCAGTGAGTTCCCTGCAGCCCTTAATGTGACAGAGCTTTACTGCAGCAGACCCAGTCTGCATCCTGAGCATTGTGACTACAGCAAGCTTTCTCCAGGACTACACCCTTGACACGTTACAAAGACAAGTCAGTTAGGACCCCTGGCTCCCCATCTATTAGATTTTAAAAGGATCTATTTATCCATTTGGCAAGAACCTTCAGAGGCAATAGCTGGATCGTCTCTCTTAGCCCCATGTACACATGAAGGTGCTCACAACTCAGTCAGAATTAGATGTTGAGGTGGAAGGGACATGAGCAGTAGATGTGGATCAAGGAAGGCAAAGGGACTTCATGTTACCTGAGGCCTCTCTGAGATCTTCCACTGCTGAAACTGTTACAGTTTTGTGCCCCTAGCTCTGGCCTTGCTGGAGTCAAACACTTTCCTCTTGGAGCCTTGGCTCTTGCCACAGATACTCATGTACTTCTCAAGCCTGGTGCAGAGAAACTTACGTCCACAGAAGCTGCACTGTCCGAGTCCCCCCTGCTCCACAGCACCAGCAGCCTGCATGTACAGCACATCTGTGGATGGGTGGTCATCAGAATCTTGGTCTGAGAGGGCAGAAGGAGAAGACCTATGTTTTGGGGCCAGCACTGAACAAAAGGCTAAATGCTCCGTGGGTATGCGGTCTCGAATTTTGCTGTTGCTGGCCACCAGCCGCTCCTTCTTGAGTTTCCCCATAGCCAGCTCTTGGGGATAGAGGGTGGTGCCAGGCTTGGGGATAGTGGCCTTTGCAGACTGCACCCCACCGAAGACCCCATCACCTGGCTTGACTGCAACGCTGAAATTTTTCTTCTCAGGGTGCCTTGCAGCCTTTTGCTCATGGGTTCTCTCTGCTTCTCTGTCTCTTCTCTCCTCTGCCTCAACAAGCTCCTTCTCTCTTTGAATCCTTATAAGCGCCTCCTTTGTTCTCCTCAGCTTCTCTATAAGGAGGTCTTCTTTCTTTCGAATTTCCTCTTCCAGGTTCTGTCCATCGGCCTCCAAATTTAGGATGTAGTTCTGCTCTCTCCTGTATAAATGGAAGGCTGACTGTTTAGACTCTGCTGTGCAAGGAGAGAGCACTGCAGCTAGCTGACACCTCCCTGCTGGAGTCTTCCCTTTGCTCATTGAGCTAGGCCTACTATTTGGAGCTTCCTCTATGTATGGGTAACTTCTGAGCTGTGCTGTGTTGACCACTGGAACACTTGCATCCTTGTGGTGAAAAATTGGTTTCAAGGGATATGCACGGTTCACTCCTTTCTGTCTGGCTATTGATTTAGCTGGCAGTCTTGGTCTGACTGGTGAGATACTTGCTCTGCAGTCCAGCTGAACAAAATCCTCCGTGCCTGGAGCTGTATTGGCTGCTTTCTCCAGAAAGACAGTAAGAATAGCTTCAGCTTTTTCGGGCATAGAGATCCTTTAAACTTCTGTCTTTGTCAGGTATGAGTTCATACTGAAAGTTGTTCTTCTGGTATTCCAGAACAAGCTTAGTAGCTGCCACCACAGAATCCACAAAGCCATTCAGTGTCTGAGAAAGAGCCTGAGATTAGAAGCAAAGTCATTATAGACTGTCTTCTCCAAAACCAGAATGATTTTCTCCTAACAGTCTACACCTGGAGGCTACAATGAGAGGCTATAATAAATATTAGCAAATGTTTTGTAACTTTTCTGGGTTCTGTAAATCTCCACATTGCTCCCATCTAGGGAGCTCTGATGCTGCCTCTTCCAACCCCGATCATTTATGCAGCCAGAAATAAGACACGCTTTTATTTTGCTTTCTGAGCCCTGTCTGATCATGGCAGCAGCAGAAATACACCGTGCTGCCAGGGAAAGTCGTACACTCCCCCAGGGTGTTTCCGATAACGTGTCCCTTCAGTTTCGGCACTGTAGATCCACCAGTGTGGCACACAGGTCTGACACGCAGGCGTCCGGTAAAGCTCAGTACAACCTTCCCATGGTTCGTTCTACCAGGTACCCAGGCCGCAGGCCGGCCCTGCGGACA